TAGTGATGTTATTGGCATGCGAAAGCATGCTATATGCATAGCTATGCCAGGTCTTTCGAAAACTTTGTGCCAGTTTTTTTTTTCGAATTATTTTAATTTTTTGTGTTTAAAAAATTTTAAAAATTTCCCGGAAATTTGTATTTTTGAAATTTCCTGTAAGAATTTATGGTTGAATGTTTGAGTGATGTGTTTTTCACCCACCCACTCCGGCACCGAATCGATTTGACCCAAATTTGAGGGATTTATTCTTAAAACTGCCGCATACGAAGTTCTCTTGAGCATACCCTGCAAAGATTTGTTGAGGTTTTGATAACTTCCCGGACCCCCTCCCCCCGCCCTCGACTCTCTCCGGGCATTTGGGGGGCATTTCTCAATAATGCTCGGTGCTAAGAGTGACTTTTTCAGGTGGTCTTTAGTGTTTCTTTTAGGGGTATCCAATTTTGTGCATATCAAATTTGGTGGGCATTTTGGTGGACATTGGATTTGGTGAGCGATAGGATGGACATCATTTTTTGGTGCCATTTTGTGAAATCTCGTTTTGCTGATCGGGAATCGATTTTGCATATAATATGTAAGAAAAAACTTTTCAATTTTTTGAAGGTACCATCGAAGAAGTAGCAGCAGCGAAGAAGCAGCCCTCAGGGGGCCATTTATTTTGCACGCAAAAATCAATGGGGTTTTTTTTTTGGCTGAACTGAAATTATCCTTTTACATCCCCAAAAAATCCTTCATCCACTAGTTTATGTCCAGCTTCCGGATGTCATTTATTTATATGTTCTGGCCCATTTTTACTGGAGCAATTTTGATGCACAAACCTCACTTTTGCCTCAGCCTCGCCATACCCTCTCATGGACAATGCACAGATTTCACTATTTCCGCCTAATTGCCTCACCATTTCTTGATTTTTTAGATACTATGGCTTTTTTTTGCGTTTTGTGCCGCAGAAGCCGTGCAGATCGCATATTTCTGCCTTCATATGCATGTATGTGGGTGTGTGTGTGTGTATGTATGTATGTATGTATGTATGTATGTGTGTGTATGTGTGTGTGCATTCATGCATGTGCATGTGTTTGTATTTTTGTGTTCGGATGCGTGTATATGTGCGGATGCGTGTATATGTGTTTAGCTCAGCAACAGAAAAAGTGACTGCGTGTATATGTGTGTGTGTGTGTGTGTGTATGTTTATGTTTATGTTCGCATATTTCTCCGGGGC